TCAGGCCCTCTTCACACTGTTTGGTGTTTTTAATTTTTTTGACATAAGGGTGCGGGGAAATTTAGGGGCCCTTCACATAGCTGCTGCCCGGCCCTTATCCTGCCATGGGCCCCTATATAACCCTACGCCTCCCTCCTGCTGCTGCCAGGCTCCAGAGTCCTCTCAATGTGGTCCCCTGTACGGCTCCTCCCATTTGCTGCGCTTCTCCTATCGCCTAGACTCCTGCCATCCATTTTGGTTTGCACTATCTCTTCAGGTCTCTTCACACTGCTAGGTGTGTTGTTAATTTTTTTGACATAGGGTGTCTGGCAGATAACGGTGGCCTTCACATAGCTGCTGCCAGGGCCCCTACATCACTGCCATGGGCCCCTATATATACCGCCTCCTCATGCTGCTGGCCAGTCCAGAGTCTCTCATGGGTCCCTGTACGGCCTCACCCATATGCTGCTGTCTCCATCGCCACACTCTGCTGCACATGTGCCATTTTATCAGGTCTCTTCACACACTGTGCTGTGTGTTGAAATTTTTTTGACATAGGGTGCTGGCAGATTACGGGCCTCCCATAGCTGCTGCCAGGCCCCTAATCTGCCATGGGCCCCTATATACCGCCTCCTCATGCTGCTGCCAAGGTCCCAGAGTCTCTCATGGGTCCCTGTACGGCCTCCCCATTGCTGCTGTCCTCCATCGCCACACTCTGCTGCCATGTGCCACTTTCAGGTCTGCTCACTCACACTGCTGGTGTGTTAAATTTTTTTGGACATAGGGGCCTGCTGGCAGATTACGGGCCTCACATAGCTGCTGCCAGGCCCCCCGTTGTGGGGGGGGGGACCCCCCCCCCTAATCTGCCATGGGCCCGCCTATATACCCGCCTCCTCATGCTGCGTGCCACGGGGGCAAGTCCAGAGTCTGTCAATGGGTCCCTGTACGGCCCTACCATTGCTGCTGTCTCCATCGCCACACTCTACCTCTGCTGCATGGTGCCACTTTCAGGTCTCCTCCTCACGACTGGTGTGGTTAAATTCTTTTTGACATAAGGGTGTAGGCAGATTACGGGCCTCACATAGCTCTGTCTGCCAGGCCCCTAATCTGCCATGTCCCCCTATATATACCAATACCACTCCTCTTGCTGCAGCGCCATAGTCCAGAGTCCCTCTCATGGGTCCCCAGTACGGCCTCCCATTGCTGCTGTCTCCATCGCCACACTCTGCTGCATCCATGTGCCACTTTCAGGTCTCTTCACACTGCTTGGTGTGTTAAATTTTTTTTGACATAGGGTGCTAGGCAGAATTACGGGCCTCACATAGCTGCTGCCAGCCCCTAATCTTCCATGGGCCCCTATATACCCAGACCTCCTCATGCTGCTGCCCGAAGTCCAGAGTCTCTTCATGGGTCCCTGTACGGCCTCCCAGTTGCTGCTGTCCTCCATCGCCACACACTGCTGCCTATGTGCCCAACTTTCCAGGTCTATTCACAACTGAGCGCTGGGTGTGTTAAAGTTATTTTGACATAGGGTGCAGGCAGATTACGGGCCTCACATAGCTGCCACACAGCCCAAGGCCCCTAATCTGCCAACTGGGGCCCACTATATAACCACCCCGCCATCCTCATGCTGCTGCCAAGTCTCAGGACTCTCATGGGTCCTGTAACGGCCTCCCATTTGCTGCCTGTCTCATCATCGCCACAACTCTGCTTGCCATGTGCTGCACTTTCAGGTCTCTTCACACTGCTGGTGTGTTACATTTTTTGTGAACATAGGGTGCTGGCAGATTACGGCCTCCCATTGCTGCTGCCAGACAAGAAATCTGCCAAGGGCCCCCGTACCGACTCCTCCTCATGCTGTGACGTTGCAACAAGGTGTAATTCAAACCCACAAATGTTAGACCGCATTTACGAACAGCTACAGCCACACGAGATTTCCTGATGGTTAAAAGCGGAAAAGGTACTCCTGTGTAAACATAGATGTCAGCCATTGTCATCTCATGTGTGACACCTGCCGCTTGCTCAGGCCCTTTGAGGAGGCCAACGCTATTCGTGAGTCGGCAGGACATGGGATGAAATTAGGTTTCAAATCGTCCCATGGCCCCCGTACCCCGCCTTTCACGCTGATGCTGGTCCCACAGTGTGACCTGGGTCCCTGTACTGCCCACCCATTTGCTTTCCACTCTGCCATGTACCGTCTTTGAAACATCCTCAACAGTACTCCTTCGTTTGTCCATTTTGTCATAGGTTGCTGCAGATAAGGCGGCCTTCCATAGGTGCCACGCCAGGCCCCATAGTCGAACCTGGGCCCCCGTACCTCCTGGTCACAAAGGCTGCTGCTGAGCCCACAGTGTAAACCGGGGTCCCTGAACGGCCCCCCCCATTCTTCCACCCCGGGGCCCATGTCCCAAACTTTAAAAATCTCCTCACACCTCCTGCGGTTGCCCTTTTTTGTCATGGGTTTGCGGGCAATTACGGGCCTTCCATAGGTGCCCCCAAAACCCCTTTTCGGCCCAAGGGCCCCCCGCCCCCGCCTGGTCACCCTGCTCGCGGGGCCCCCACAGTTTTACCTGGTCCCTTACCGCCTCCCATTGCCCCCCACTCGGGCCAGGTGCCACTTTCAGGTCTCCTCACGCTCCTGCGGTTTCCATTTTGCCCATGGGTTGCGTTTGGCCCCCATTGCTGCTGCCCCCCACCGCCAAAACTGGGGCTCCAAACCTGGTTTTTGGCCCCTTAAAGGGCCCAAAAGGAGTAAAGGTGCAGTGATTCTAAGATCGACGGCACTCTCTGCATTCATAACAACAGACGATTTTTTCTTTTCCCCCAAAACCCCAAAGGGGCTTTTAAATTAAAAGGGACAGTTTCCCTGCACTAATTTTAAGTCTCCTGAAGCCTAGAAACCCCCTTTTTTTTAAGTTAAATTCACACAAATTTTATTCGACTCAATCGAATATTGTCCCAAAAATTCGCCGAATCAGCGAATGAATTTTTCTTTTCCCTTTCCCGCTCATCTCTATTTTAAACCCTTTAACCCCCCAAAATGGAAAAAATTTCTTTTTTTTTCCCTCAACATTCACAAACAATCCCCCAATACAAAAAGAAAGAAGTTATTTTTTGAAATTTTGCTATTTATTAAAAAAAAAAAAAAAACACATTTAATAAGTATCAAAAGTTTTTTGCCATGAAACTAAAAATTTTGAGCTCTGTCATCCTTGAATTTTTTTTTTACAACTTGTTTGGGGCCACCTGGGGGAAATTCAGTTGATTGACATGTTTAAAAAAAGGCATAAACCTGTCTATATAAGGTCCCTGTCAAGGCCCCTCCCTTTTTCCAGAGACGGGGTGCGGCTTCATGAAACTGGCTCCATCTTGGTTTCGCAGGCATGGTGGGGTCTTTTATGCCTTCAGGTCTCGGAGGCCCCATCCCCCAGGGGGGTGGGCTGAGTAAAATATAAGCCTGTTTTTAACCGACAAGTTTCTTTGCACTTGTGAAATTTCCCAGGGCAGGCTGTGGAACGGAAAAGGTAGGCCTAGCGCAGGGTAACGAAACTGACTGTTTAAACAACCCCCCACCAACAACCCGAAGTCCCTAAAGGGCGCGGGTCTAACCCCCAGGCTCCCTTAAACCAGGGCCCCTGAGGTGGGGATGGACTTGACCCCCCCCCCCCCAGGAATCGGGGTCGGGCCCCCCGAACACCCCGGCTGCGGAAAGGGCCCCGCCGCCAATGGCGTGTAGCTGGAAAGGAAATGGCAATAGCTAGTCAGGTCGGCCGGGCCCGAAAACAACGGGACAAAAGGGTACAGAACATAGACAAAAATAAAGGGCCCGGGGCCCGGGTTAAGCAAGGGAAGGTCAGATCAAAGGAAAACACAGAGAAGGGTTCTATCACAACCGATCAAATACCAGAAGTTTAAACAAGATTTAAACACAGGCTTTTGAAACCCACAAAAAACACAGGGCCAACCAAAAGGGCAAAGAGAAATTTTGGCGGATCACACTTATATGTACCCCGCCACACCCCTCGGGGGATGGACCCTCAAGACCTGAAGGCAAAAAAGACCCCAAACCATGCTTTTCGAAACCCAAGAGGGAAATGCCATACATGAAGCCGCACAGCTCGGGAAAAAGGGTTGGGCCTTACAGTCCCCACAGTTAACAGTGCATGTCAGGGCAAAAAACCCAAACCCCATGAAGCCCAAAGGGTTTTTGGGTCCATAGACCCCCGAACAGGATTGTATCAAGGCACAGATCGGGTAAAGGGGTACAAAAAAATTTCTGCAGCATTAAAAGGGCCCAATACCACAGGGGTTTTTCATCATCCTAAAGGGGAAAAAGTTTAAAATTTTCCCTAGAGCAGCCCCCGGGCCTAAAAAAAATTGATCGGGGGAAAAGGGGGCCTCACCCGGGGAGGTAACCAACCCCAAGGGCCCCACTCTGAAAGAACTCCATTTTCTCTTTGTAAGAGAGGAAAAACCCTTTTAAAAAAGAAAAACCACCCTCTGCAGAACTCCCCCAATCGGGCCCCTTTATGGTAGAGGGGGCCAGACGTAAGCCACTCCTCAGTAAAAGGCAAATGGCAGCCCCCCGGATTTTTGCCAAAAGGCACCAAAGGGGACTCCAGGACCATGAGAAACAAAACCTCTGGTTTGCTGAAAAAAAAGATTGAACCTTTGGCCTAAATTGAAAGCGCATGTCGGGAGAAACCTGGCCAATACCATCCCCCACAGTGAAGCATGGTGGAACAGAATCTGCTTGGGGGGGTTTTTTTTTAGTGGGAGGAAATGGGGGGCTATCAGGGTCGAAGGGAAAAATGAATGTAGAAGTGTACAAAGACATCCTTGAAAGAAAACCTGTTCAGAGCCTCTGGACCTTAGACGCTGCACAGTTTTATTTTTTCAAAAAGGACAATGACCCTAAGCCCACAAACCCACAAAAACAAAGGATGGCTCGGGGCCCAAATATGTTTAAAAACCTGGGAAAGGCTCACCCCGAAACCCAGACTTGAACCCGATTGGGGAGAAACTGAAAATGGTTGCAAACCCACGCCCCCATCCAAAACCCGATTTGGGGCTTTAAGGTAATTTTAAAAATAATGCACATACAACCACAAACCACCCCCCCCACCAAAGCCACAAAAGCCCAATCACCACTGTAATACAAAAAAAAGCAAAAATGCATTCTGGTGTTATCTGTGGCCCCTTTTTTGGATCAATAAAAAATTTTTTTACTTTTTTTATCAAACCCCGGTTTTGGGGGGCCAAACACTTCTTCCCCCCCCCCTTTTTAAAAGTTGGGGTCCTTGCTGGAATCAAACAGTGGGCCCCCAGAGCTTGAGGCCTATCGTAGGGAGAATAACTTCCCTTTTGAACCCCCCGAAACAGGTCCCCCTTTTTGAAAGGACAGATGGACCCAAAACTCTTTTTGGGAAAAACCAGCGGGTTCCTTTTGCAACCTGCAACTAACTTCCCCAGCACCGAGGGGGTTTTAAAAAGCACACAGTCTTCCCAAGAAACAAAAAGGGGTATCTGTACTCACAAGGGCCCCAAAAATCATGTGGAGCCTTTCCCCCGAAAACCCGACCGGGTTTTTCAGAAAAAAAACCCCATCAGCACAGTAGAACCCGGGGCTCAGTGTTCACTACCTGGCCCCCATGGGAAATGGGTTTCCTGGGGGGGCAATGTGGGCCCCCCTCCAGGGCCCCGGGAAAAATCTTAAAACAGGAAATACCAGAGTCCTGTGTGGGTCACTGAATAAAAAAAAAAGCCCACCCAGCATCCCATCAAAAGCCCCTTCTCTCTGGGGTAGGCTGAGGGTGTAAACAATGTTTTATGTTATAACTCCACACCTGTCATCCCAAAAAAACTCAAGTTTTACTGACACCAGAAGAAGGGTTTGCAGATTGACACACTGAGCACAAAGAGGGAGAAACCCAATTAAGTGATCACAGCTCACAGTTTTCAAAGGCAACCCATTCCCCATATAGCTGTAATTTTCACACCCCCCTTCTTTCCCTCTTTCCCCCTCCCCCCGGGCTCAGCTGTGCCTACCCCTGTGGCGATGGCAAACATGCCCTCGGGAAACCCAAACAGTGGTTTTTTTGGGTTTTAAAATTCCCCAAACTCCCTTTTTTTCCTCGTGGGCTATGGGTGGGTCAGAAAGATGCTCTGTGCAGGGAAATGACCAATCAGAACCACTCTGAAACATCCCCAAAGGGGCTCACAGGGGGGAGGGAAAAAGAGCAGGGATTTTCTAATTCCCAAACCATGCAGGGGCTGCGGGGTAAGACAGCTCACACCCAAGACACAAGTCGCAAGGACTGGGGGTGTTTTATCCTTTGTAAATATACCTGACATCCTCCCAAAGTCTACGGAGCAGAAAGTTTTCTGTGCTGTCTCCCCCTGCAATATGTTATCAGGGACGTCCCCAGATCATATGTCAACCAAGAACACCTCTCTCCTATGTTAAAGTTGAACATGGGAAAACACTTTTTGTTTCATTTTGGATAAGCAAGGGAGGGTTAAATACCTTTCAAAATTTTTTTTTTGCCATCTGGTTCCATTTTGGAGATTTCCCTTCACTTCCTGTCCCATACCAATCGGGAAAGTAAAGGTAATCCCTGCAAACTGGGGAACCCCTTTGGGGAACCCTTTCCACCAAAACGGGTTTTCCAATTGGAAATTTCCCCTCTACTTTTCCTGAGAAAACCGAAAATCTGGGATTTTTTTTACTTTCACTTTAAATGGAAATAGTAAACGGACAAATAA